ATATCCAGGTTACAGCAGACACTTCATGTACTTTTGTCATTTGTTCTAGCTAATATGAATGATATTGAATAATCTTTATTACAACATGGACCTTTCTCTGGATTCGAAAGTCGGATTTAGCCAAGGATGTCACCTTCACTAAAAAGGATCAAGATACATGTATGTTATATAAGTTTTGCTTCGCTGTAAATTTACAATTAAAGTGATAAAGTGACTGTAATATATTTTAGTAGATACCAAAACTTAATGATATTAAAAAGTGCAGTCTCAAGACAACTAACACATGCATCGCCTGCTTTAAAGCTTCATCGATCAAAGTAATTCAATCTAAGAGTGGTCAGTTATTTATCATTTAACAGGGAAAGCATTTTTTTTATAATTATATAATTTAACAAGTACAATGTGGAACTGTAATCAAGAAATTAATCAATTATAATATAATGATTAAATGGGAAAACAAGATTACGTGGATTTCGTCTTGCTGAGTGATGGTATCATAAAAGTAGGAAGTATTCATTCGTATATAAATATTTTTTTAAAAATATTTTTAAATAATTTCTTTTAAAGAATACACAAAATTAAATCAACAATTATTAATCAATTGACAATTCTAACAAAAAGTTCATTTGGAACATTACTTACGCAACATCTGTCTCGCAGACAAATCTGAAAACGTGTCCACATGGTTCATCGGCCCATCTACCATGATACCTGTCCCATAAAGCAACACAGTTTGCATCTGTATGCTGATTTGGCTCACCAGGAGAAAAGTCATTTACAGTTATTGTCTGCAGGTTAGAGGAATAAATCCAGCGATCTTCTTCTATCAAGTCAGAAATTCCGATCCATGCAGTAGAAACTGGAGTCATCTGGAATTATGTCAAATGAAAACTTCAAATTTATTCATACCGAAATATATATGTGTTTTCAATAACCTTATCGTAAATGATATCAAACCTACAATTGTTTAAGAATGTTGGTTATGCAGGGGCAAATTGAACGTCTGCTTTAGAATCGCGATGTAAGGAGTTGATCCTTACGTCGCAGGTTCGAATTCTACTGTTGGACGTGGAGACCAGTCCTTCCGAGGTCCCGTATCATAGTGGGAGTTGGCACGAAAAAGATCTCTCACTACTCAATGGCCCTGAGTGCCGAGTATGGGAGAAAATTTGCAGCTCTACACCGGCAAGTGATGGCGTCTCTAAATCTAAGTGAGTGAAAATTCTCAAGAGGGACATTAAACAACAGACAAACTAAACAAATCCAGTAAGCAATCCAACGAGTTTATGAGGAGAGTAACGTATCAGAAACCTTTGGCTAGTTAGCGCTATAGCGAAGATAAAATTATGCATCCTCATTATATGATTATAGAGCCCTGCTCTTACTTTCACACTGCAAATGATCCAGACGGTGCTTATTACAATCATGTCAACAGAGTTTAAATTTTTGATGTCCTGATGTAAAGAAGATTTTTTAATGCCACAATTTTGAAAGATTTAGTCCTATTCTTTAGGCCCTGGGAAGGAGAGGGAGGTCCTGAAATTCATAAATTTTATTTTGGATATCAAGGATCAAGCTGAATAGATAAATATTTTGAGAACCCTTTGTTTGACAAACAACACACTTAGTACCTTGGTTTTTCTTGAATAAATGAAATTCTTCTTGCTTAATCACCTAACTGTATTTGTACATATTTTAAAGAGACAAGAGATGTTTGTAAAACACTTAGGACCCACTCCCCCAAATAACTGGAATTTTCTAAGCCCAAGAGGCATAACTGTCAAATATGTCTCGAATGTACCCAAAACAGTACTTGACCTATATCTCCTTATGATAAATCTATATACAAAATTTCATTTCAGTATGTGCAACCACTGCAAAGAAAATGAACAAAAACTTTCGCTATTAATTGAAATTTTTATGAGTCCAAGTGGCATAACTCTGTCAAAAATAGCTCAATATTGTACCCATAACAAAACTTCAATTATGGATATTTTTATGATAAATCCGTATACAAAATTTATTTTCAGTATGTGAAACCGCTGCAAATAAAGTGAACAGAAACTGCAAATAATTGGAATTTTTCAAGGTCTAAAGAGCATAACTCTGTCAAAATGGCTCGAATGTACCAAAAAAAACTTGACCTGAATATTCTAGCTATAAGTCTGTATACAAGATTTCGATTGAGTATGTGCAACCGCTGCAAAGAAAATAAACGGCAATTGCAAATTATTGGAATTTTTCTAGGTCTAAGGAGCATAACTCTGTCAATATGGCTCCAATGTACCCAAAATAGAACTTGACCTAGATATTTTTATGATAAATCTGTTTACTAAATTTCATTTCAGTGTGTACAACCGCTGCAAAGGAAATAAACGTAAACTGATGGTGGATCGACAGACAGATGGATAGACAGCAACAAAGAAAATATGCCCTCCCTTCTTCGAAGAAAAAACCCCAATTATTTATAACTATATGAGTCTGCAACTCGCCTTTGCTCGATAATAAATAGGTAGCAACTGTTCCTTCGCAAAGCGTTCGGCATAAAGACGCAAAAACCGAGGTTCCGTCTCACAACATGCATTGGCACGACAATAAAAAAAACCTTCACTGCTCAATGGCCCGGAGTTCCGGGTAAATGTTAAAATTTGAAACTCTTCACCGGTATATGTTAACCATTCTATGTGCATGATAATTTCTCGAATGAGACGTAAAACAACAAACATTCAATCAATCTACGATAATATAACTACAATGCTATATATAGCATGGTCCTGTTTATTTTGCCTCTATTTTCGTGTTGCATTGACAGGTATCTCCGTCACACTCGTAGAACTCATATCTATGCAGTTATCTCTCGAATAAACTTTGATGAAACTTTCACTGGAGCATTTTTAGGTCACCTGAGTAAACTCAGGTGACCTATTGCTATCTGTTTTCGTCCGTCGTCGTGCGTCGTGTGTTGTGTGTCGTGTGTTAACATTTGAACATTTTCAGCTTCTTCTCTGCAACCACTGAACCAATTTCAACCAAATTTGGCACAAAGCATCTATAGGTAAAGGGGAACAAAAATTGTGAATTTCATCATCCCTGTCCCCCTGGGGCCTGAGGGGTGGGGCCAAAACCACTAAAATTAATGCAATCTTTAAAAATCTTCTTCTTTACTCTGGACATCAAGCAGTCAAACTGTTTGCATGATTGTAATCAGCAATAAGCCCTCTACCAAAATTGTGAAATTCATGGCCCTGGGGTCAGGGGTTCTAGTGCTAGGGCGGGGCTAAATAAGTAGGTAGTGAAAATGCATTATTTCTTTGAAAATCTTCTTCTCTGCTCCTGGGTATTAAATAAACCAACTAAGTACATAGTTATGATGAGCAAGAGTGCCTCTACCAAAATTGTGAATTTTATGGCCCTAGGGTCAGGGGTTCTGGTGTTAGGGCGGGGCTCTATTGATTATATAGTGAAAATACATGAATTCTTTGAAAATCTTCTTCTCTGCTCCTGGGTATTAAATAAACTAAGTAAGTATATAGTTATGATGAGCAAGAGTGCCTATACCAAAATTGTGAATTTTATGGCCCCAGGGTCAGGGGTTCTTGTTTTAGGGTGGGGCTCTAATGATTATATAGTGAAATGCATGAATTCTTTGAACATCTTATCCTTTGCTCCTGGTTAATATGCTAATGATCTAATTACATATTTAAGGCCAGGAATTATTTTATTTTCAGTTTTACAAACCCTCTGCTCAAGGTTTTCAATTTTCAGGAAAAAATAAAACAATTTTTTTCTTTCCGATGTCAAATTTGAGTCGGGATCGAGATTTCAGATTTACGAACACGCACCTCCGGTTTTAAGATGAAACGGCGTGTAAATAAAGCTAGATCTGAGAAGATAGCTTGGTTTAGTGTAAAATTCATCGATACGAGTGTCATTCAAAACGTTTCACCCGTTCAAAGGACAAATAAAATGCTGACGACTTTGTTGCACAATGACATGCTGGTGAGATAATTATGTATTCGTTTCAAAAGTATCTGTAAATTGTTTTCCTTCCCCAGGTTTTAAACTGCCCGTGGTAGTTACTGCATATTGCCAGCGACATTGTTTAGGTCAATGTTATAGCTTACAGTCTAAGCATCATTCTTCAGAAAAGGTTTACTTATGCATCAGATGTAATGAATAAAACTATGGGAGTAGTTAAGTCCATTTGAGGAAGAAATAAACAATAACCTGAAGAAATAAAAAAAAATTCAACTATTAAAAGGCAAGAATATACAAATATATACAGGCATGTAGTATCACTTGTATCAGCCAGAAAAATTATTTTACACTTAATTGAAAAAATGTTCACCCTACTCCCCAATACTCCCTGTCTGTTTTATGATAGGAATTATAGTTTTAGGCATCAAGTAAATTTTAGAACAATGTCTACACATTCACCTAACACATTTTAAAAAAATGAAGATATATTGAAAAACTTTTAAAGAATTTTTTAAAATATATTTTGACCAACATCACAAAATTTATATAACTGGCCCAAACTGGCAGATGATGAAATAAGCAATTAAATGTTCTACTTTCCTATTTGTAAGCATTATGTGTCCAGTGGTAAGGAGCCTATTAGAATAGCATATGATAAAAAAAAGAATGTACAAATGTTAATAATTGATTTATCAAAAAAAATTTTATTTCCTTCTCCTTCGGGACTTTTTTATTCTCATGTTCATAACTAAACCTAAACATAAAAAAATGCTGGCCTTATAATGAAAAAAGGGGCCTCTTTCAAAATAGATAATTTCAGGGCCGCTGGGTCAAGGGTACCGGGGGGTACTTTGACTAAAAATAAATTAATGCTTTGAAATCTGCCCTTTGATAAGCAATGGTGCCTCTTTCAAAATTTGTGAATTTCATGGCTTTTGGATTAAAACACGAACCAAATACAATCGCTGGAAAGTTGTTACATGATACTCAGATGACCTATAAGGCCCGTGGGCCTCTTGTTACATAATGTCGTGGTGCCTCCCATTGCTCGTTTTGATCGGATAGCTATAGGAATACACGTTTGTTTAATGTCTTGTTCAAGAATAGAAACCACCACTTGTCGATGGACGGCTGCAAATTTAGACCTATACTCGGCACTCAGGGTCATTGAGCAGTGAGGCATCTTTTTCATGCCAAGATCACTGTCATTATTTTTAAAAGATGAAAAGTAATGAACTTTTACTATATAATTTTTTGATAAGGTTTTTGTTAGATTTATTGGTTTATGTACAGTCATGTATTACAATTTGTGGTAGTAACTAGTTCGTTGACTTAGGAATTCAGCGCACATTTCTTTTAAGACAAATTGACTGTAAAACTACATGTGATAGTTATATTTAAATATTGAAGAAGGAAACGTAAACTTTACATGAAAATTATCGAATCACACTCACTAGCTTATAAAATGCCCCCTACAAGTAGCATGCTTGCACTACAATTCAAATCATTGTGATAAAAGAAAATTTGTTTATATTAAGTATCTTGCATGCAGTGATAGACATTTTACCGTTCAATGTACAGTTATCTTCAATTTTGCCATCAACATACTACATATAGTTCTTGTATATTAATTAAAATACACATTAATATACATGTATAACATATCCTATATACGTAAAAAGATTTACATCAATTATATATAAAATCAAGGTTTAATCTGATGATAAAGTGAATACGAATTCATAGCAGATGTAAACCTATAGAAGATAAGCAATGGCACAAGAATGGTTTGAACATATGTCCAATTCCGTCTGTTGCCAACAATTTTCTCCTGTCCTTCTGCTGGTACATTTTGATATATGGAGTAGAGAAACCAATTTATTAAGTTTGTTATCGTCAAAATTAATGCAAGAGAAGAAAGAAGTGAGGACCTTCGCTCAGATAATATGTAGCGCTGACACTGTATCAAAAGAGATGTTTGTAAAAAGGTCTCTATTATCTCAATAAAGTTTCGTAAGAAGACAGATGAATGTTCCTCAAAATTTCCTTGCAGGGCGAAAAGTAGTCCGTAAGTACTGTATGCGACTACTCCGGCCGAGCTGAACACAAGAATTATTTCACTCGTTGTCAGAGAACGCTGATATTTACTCATGGAATAAGTTTTCGACAAATGGTCAAAGGCAACGTAAACAATTGTGATGGTCGCAATAGAGTTGATACAGTTACAAATTTCATACGCATTGCGAAGTCCTATATTATTGTCTGTGTACACGAACGAAAGAAGAAGCCATGTCAGAAACGTTGGCAGATTCAGGATAACGGAAATCATAATGACAACAACGTTGCTAGCCCGATTTTCAGTATTACGAGGCAACAGTGGTAACAGTTCCTGCGATTCCTCGGAGAACGTTCCTGTCTCTTCTAGATCAATTTCAGTTCGCTGTTCTGGCAAGGAATGCCAAAATGACAGCACAAAACTTGACGCTAGGATGAAAAATTCCATCTGAGTTGGCAACAAAAAGGGAATGAGCTTTTGTGCTAACTCTTTGTTGATTTTAGAGCTAAAGAAGCATTTCGATTCGTTTTTAAAAATTTTCATGTGTGTGGTTTCATTGGGATTTGTAGCATAAATTCCATTTAAACTGCTAACAACAGAATTCAACCACACTGCAAAATTTGCCAGCGAAAGAAATACGATTGCAAAATTAATTCGAGTTGACTTTCTGAAATGATAGTTTCTGTAATATGTTATGGTTCCCATTTGCAAAACAATAAAACAAATAAATAGAACTGTACTAAAGATACCTGCGTACATCATCAAATCTTGAGACACTTTTGAAAAACATTCTATTTGTATAGCAATATATACGGCACTTTTCAAGATGACACCCAGTCCAAAGAGCCAGAGAAAAACAACTCTTAAATTTAGAGAATAGTCTTTAGGCACTTCTGTTTCAGGTTGATTTTGCATGAACGAGTTAGAACATATCAGGATAACCAAGGCGAGCAATCCGCATGCGACAAGTCCCATGACCAATCCCCACACTACAAACCGTGCGGTATCGTCCGTCGTCTGTTTGCCGGAATAAATGCCAAGAACTACACAGAGGCAAGATACCAAATGTGCAAAGGTCAGTGTGGGAGATATCTCTTCGTTCATATCATTTTCGTTTTCTTCTGAATTCACTTCTGCTCCGGCAGTTGAAAATGGAATAAGAATCGTTCTGAGAACTGCTGAAAACCACGATCGCACTTTCATAGTTTTTTATCTGTAAAAGACAACATTTTTAATGCTTAAAAAATCATTTACTCTCAAGCGTTGAAAAAAATGAACGGTTATAATTTGTCATACCTTAGATTGATATATACATGTACCTTACCTGTCCATTTAGCAAACAAACATATTATCCTTATGTCTGTGTCAATGGCATAATGAAATTCATTCAAATAAAATTATGGCCTCTTTGTATTGTAAATGAAAAAGCTTAAATAAATTCATGCACAGGGAAGTTTCCATATGAATAACTTCCTGGTCAGATGATGTCCGAAAAGATGGAAATAAAAATATACAGTACTTCCTTAATTTATCATGGAATATTTAAGGGCCTTAAACATAGATTTGAATTTAATATCCTCTTAAAGAACTATATGCGGTATATTATTTCATGATTTTACAAAAGTTCAAATTTTTATATTTTTTGTAATTCAATAAATTGTACGAGAAATATAAATTAACAGAAAATATTATAGTTCCATTGCAGTGTATTCACAATTTTTGTTTTTAGATGTCACAAAATTTTCTGATTTTTTCCTTTTTCAGAAAGAGGACAAAATGGACAAAATTTCAACAATTTTAGCTTTAAAATTTATAGATCCATGTGTGTTCAGGACAATTTGACATATTTCATTTATATTAACATTGTTTATATCAATATTTATCTGAACACACATGCGCTCGGTGACTTTTACTCAAAATATCGACGAAATATGTACATTTTTCAGTAAAATTCATAAAAAACTGAAATTTACGTCATGTTTGTGACATCAACGTACATATGACGTTTTTTATTCAGTGCTTTGAAGTGCATATACTCCCCTGCTTAAGTACTTAATTAATTATTACTCCATCAAAGTTTGATTTGGGGGGCAAATATTGGTTAATACCGCATAAACTTCTTTCCGGTATTATTTCATAATTTTTACAGGTTCCCATGTTCATATTCTTGTTTAATAAATATAAACTAGAGGTACTGTGAGCAATGAGCTCACTAAATGATACCCCCGCCTCCCATATGAATAAAATTGTCCATGTTGTGTGTGTACAAAATATATGTCAGATCAAAAAGTAAAATAGGAGGTGTACACGGAATATGTTATAAAGATTCTGTGAAAGTTTCATTAAATTTCCTTCAGTGGTATGAGAGGAGTTGCGGATCGATGGTTGTAACAGAATTGACGGAGTAGTATTAATGTTACTAGAATTCCCGCTTTTCAAGCGGGGGTATAACAAAACAGCAACCATTCAAAAATACATTTACTATTAAGATTTATGAATATCAAGATGTGGACAAAAGTTTCAATCAATTTTTTTTGGGGGGGGATAAAAGTTACATCAGAAAAATTCAGGTATTAAATCAGTTTTTCATTTAGATCTATTTGGATTATAAGAGATCTCTATATTAACATTGTTTAACATAACCTCACAGATAGAAGATCAAAAAATATATACTAGTTTATTGGGTTTTCAAAAAATCCTGAGAACTACTGGTGTTTTCTATGGACACAATCGCAATTCTAAGTCTTTTGAGCAATATGGGACATCAGCCACAAAAGGAAGGTGCTGAGCGAGAAATGACAGCCATTTAAAACACATTATAAAAAAACAAAAGAGTAAATCGAAAAATGCCTTTGAGACTTCTGTCAATTTAAAAAATGCCTGTCTTGGAAAGAAATGATTCAGCTTTACATCAACTTTTATATTCATGAAATTCTATCAATACACAACCATGTTCATTATAAATTTTTTTACAAAACGTCCTTGCATAAATACTGGGTTTTTTTTTTTTTGAAACGCAAAGTTTGATTTTGCTGTAGTACAAATACAATTCATATTAAATAGAAATATCAAAATTTCATTAAGATTATGCCAATTTAAACGTAACGGTTTTGAAATACTAGTACAAGTATTTAATCAATCCTATACTTCCTTACTTACATGTATTTTTTGTGCTCTTTTTGAGAGTGGTACATATATTTAAGGAAATTGAAAACGATTTAAATACCTGCAGAGTCAATTCACAGATAATTAAATTAAATAAAAATGCATTTAATTTCTTCCTTAGAAGATTCCGTTTCCTGATTGTAATAAGAATATGTTCCTATCACGACAAGGAAAAATTATCAAGATCAGAATACATGTACATGAGAATGTATTTTTTTAATAAGGAAAAAAAATATTTCAAAATTTATTCACAAACAATATTAACAACAAAATTGTATGTACAAAGTTTCTGGTGACACCAATGGGTTAAAAGAGGAAGAACAAATCAAATGTCGGGGTTCTTGTAAAGGGCATCACAAAATTTATTGTCCCTTTTTCAGAACTCATGAAACTGCTCAATATCTGTGCAAATAGGTTTAATTTGAATTGCGATTCCATTGCAACACCAGATAAAGGATTTGCACGTACATGTACTTGTAATAATTTCATTTGAGTTTTATCATCAACGTTACCTTTAATGTTAAGAGGTGATGATACACGGTAATACTGTAATATCACTAATTTTCGTGTGGGTTTAATTTTTGTGGTTTTCAAGGTATGAAGAGACCCATGAATTTATACCCACCACGAAATGCAATTTTTAACATATAATACTACTGAACAATTCTTTAACCACGAAATAAAACCCCAATGAACCAATTTATTTTCCTCAAATCACGAAAATTTGACCCCTCAAAAATAAGTAATTTTACAGTATAATGTACACACACAATGCAATTCATCATCAGGGCAAACAAAGACCGTGAGAAATTCCAGCTGAAGGACCAGATTGTTTTGTTTTAAATGGCTGTTGAACACTGAGTATTGATAAGGTAGACGAAATATTCCTATAGCCAAAAAAAGTATGTTCAACACAAACCTCTTCAATTATAAACCAAATACTTTTCAATGATAGGATAAAATTGTACAATATATTTAATTATGTATAACCGACATTTGATTTTTCGAAATTCTTACTTTGACCAACGTTATTAAAATTCTTTTTTAACTTTAATTTAATTTGTTTGTTTAATCGTATTCGGAGTGTTCTCTTGGTACAGTATCAAAACATATGAGATGCAGAAACACCGTATGCTCCAACAGTAAGAATTCACACTGTTAGAGAGGGCAGCATACTAAAGTAATGCATAGCAGATTGGAAATCGTAGTAAGTGGTAAAAGGAAAAGTTAAGTATTGCAACATTACCCAAATATCGGAGTTTTCAAACAAGCACTCTATGCCTTCGTTCAAAATGAAATTCCCTTGTTTACTAAGAATGAATGTTGACGTAACCCATTTTGTCATATTCAACGAAAATAAAACAATATGAATAAAAACTGACGCGTTGGATAACTTCATATCCGAGAGGGATGATCTCTTTGATATCAGAATGTAAAGGGTATGATAAAAATAAAACCACAAAGCCGCTATTCCTTTCGTAAAGAGTACAGTCCCGTTGTTTACAGAACAATTGATTGCGGTGACAATTCCATAAATGTAGTGTATAATTTTTCCTACGTAACAAATCATCAAAATAAAATCACTGGAACTGAGCTTCCACATTTGTACGTCTTTGTGTTGTCCTTCAATATATGAAAACGCAATGAGAAGGAGAAAGAGCATGATTATTTTCTGCACGGTTGAGTTGTATTGCCAGATTTCCTGCAACATAGACGTTCCATCATCAAGATAAACAAACCGGATAAGTAGTGCTAAAACAATGGATGGAGTTTGTAGAATAACTCCAGCCACCATAGATAATACACATGTTCTTCTGAGATCCGATCTGGGTACTTGCTGATCTATTGTCCTCAAATTTTCTTCCACATCTATGGATTGATAAATTGTGGATGTTGGCCATGTTTTCAAAATGAATACAGTTGCCAGCAAGAAAAATTCTAAAGAGGTTTGGAATAGATATGGTCGTAAATTACTAGTGAATGGATATGTTTTTGAATTTAAATAACAGGAATGAAATTCTGTTGTGTTCACCTCAGAGGAATTTGTCTCTCCCCTCCTGTAGACTTACAACACCCAACTTTGCAAAATTTAACCAAATACTACCGTTGGCGAGGAGAATTATTCCAATTGAATATTTAATCCATGTAATATGAAGGAATTTTGAATCTCTCATGAATGTTATGAGTCCAATTTGTGATAACAAGAATACTATCATGATCGAAGAAGATATCATTTGCCCAGCGTTTTCCAGGATAGTCCGTTCACGGATACACTCTATGTTGATTACAATAGACAAAGAGGTCCTTAAAAGCATTCCCAAACCAAACACCCACAAAAATCCAAGCTGCAGTTTATAAGCACCATCATTTTGTTGACGAGTTAAAATCTTCTGAGACTGAGATTTATAGATAACAAAAAAGATGGAAAATATGTTTATTGTAGCGATGGTAGCTATCGTCACGAAAAGTACCCATATTACTTTGTTTGAAAGTTCATCAACTCTCCCACTAAATGTTCCGACTAGGACGATAATGGGTGCACCAAGGCAGGAGAATAAAATAATAGGTAGCCCATCCTCGTGACTTATTTCCTCGGATCCATACTGGTTGGCGAGAGAAAACGGTACACAAAATAAAACTTTCAGAATTTTCATCAAGCGTGCCATTGTAAAGTCGATGTAATGTAGATCGTCTCTACACGTCCGGCTTTTTTCTACTTCACTGATTATAGAAAATGTAACCGGAAAAGTTTCAGAAATTTAATACCATTCAACGCAGGTTCCACATACAGTTTTTTTGTGCCTGAAATTACTTCATTATAAGAATGGTCTTTTCAGGGCAGCTTTTATGATTATGTCGTATCTGCAGGAATAAATTAATGAAGTGGTGTTGCTAGTGTATAGTGTGCCTATTTTTACTAAAGAATTAAAGAGAGATATTATTAATATGTCCCCGTAATTGGGGGTTTGGGGGTATACAGTAGTTGGCGATGAACTCGCAAAATGGCAGCGTAGTTCGTATTACCATTTCCGATTCAAAAGTGGAATGTTTTGCCATGAAACACGATGATATTAAATTCAATTTTATCCGAGTTTTTTTTTTCAAATTTTGCAACTACTGGAATATTTCTTTTTGATAAATTGATAATCGTCTGCAAAGAAACGACGATTCCACGTTTGTTTGTTTGTATGTTGTTTAACGCCCCTTTCGAGAATTCACTCTTATGGAGACGCTACCACTTGCCGGTGAAGAGCTACAAATTTTGTCTACATGTAATACTCGGTACTCGGAACTATTTAGCAGGGAGAGTTCTTTTTCGTACCAGCACCTACTGCGACTTGGGACCTCGGTTTACACAAAGGGCCGGTCTCCACGTCTATTACACAGTGGGAACCACTGCGCCACGCGTGCGATAACTGTTACTCACGGAAAAGAATTGACAACTGAAAAAAAGAAATGTTATATCCCTGTCATATAGCATGCATCTCTCTTGGGTATTTCTTCTCGCATTACGTAAGATTCTTGGCTATCCATCGCTCTTTCCTATAATTTTAGTTCATTGGTTGTCTTCCTGGATGCTGATTAACATATACATGACAACGGGTAACTAGGTTTTTGACAAACCGCCGAGCAATCAAATTGCAGTAAGCGGAGCTTGTAACTGCGTTTCTCCATATCGTTTATTTACAAATTCCAAGAAATCTAAATTTAAACTCTATAGCCACTAAAGATGGCTTATACCAAAAATGAAGTATATTGAATCGTTTATGTTAACCTATCATTTTAGCAGTGATCTATATAATAATAATTCAAGGTGTTTCTATGCTTCTTTGATTTAACCCCGCCGCTCAACCAGTCGGCTTTGAAGAGACCTATCGGAATAAAGAGCGAAAAGAGGTCTAGCTGTAACATTAAGCCCCCCCCCCCTTTACCTGAGAAAACCGTACGGTTAAAAATCTCGGCCTTTGATTGATACCTGTAATAATGGTTTTTCGATCTAAAAAATTCAAGAGATTTCAAATATAAAATAGGGGCATTGTTTGGAAATTTTGAAAAGGGTGAGCGAGAGGGGAAGCATAAGAAACAAGCAGCTACGTGCAGGTAAGAAAAGACAACGCCGAGTGACGACAAAATTTAATTCAGACGGGTTAAAGGAAACAGAAGACAGGCATCAAAAGATTTAACAAGTAGATTTAACAATTCCACAAGATATTTTGTGTGTGAAAGAACTACATTATAAGACAACGACTTTGTGCTGACAGCTTTAAATGATGCGTGGTTTCCAAACGGATTACCATTTCTCAAGTAAACAGAGATCGGAGGACAAGGTTTTGTCGACCAAAATTGACAAGGACTGATCAGAATAATTGGTGCAAGGTCATCTTCAGTGATGGAATTGCTGGGGACCAATATTAAAGTATACGTTTGGAGGAATTTTTACGAATTTCTAAGACCCGAATGCCTGGGTGAGCTTGGAGACAGGGAACATCAGCCACCTTATGTTTTGGGGGTGCATTTCTTACCATGGAGTAAGAATTTAAGCATCAGTCGATGGCAACATAGACACAAATTGATATATTCCTATTCTTGATGACAAGTTATGGCCAGTAGTAGCACTTCCCAAACCTACCGTACGTCTTCCAGGAAGACAATGCCCCATGCTTTGTATTTGTGTCTCATGCTAATGCATGGAAGTCTAACAACGATAAGTGCCATCGCCTGCCCAGCGTTCAGATCTCAGCATCACAAACAACGTCTGGAATACCTTAAAAAACCGTGTACAAAGACGTCTGGGGGAAATTAAAAACGCAGAGAAATTGAACTTTGTAGTACAAGAAATATGGACAGCTCCACCTCTTCACTAAAACAGAGCTTGTATGCCAGCATACCCCGCAGACTCAATTGTGAAATACATGTACGTGCAAGGGGGCAAATTACAAAATACTAATCAAAGAAGTTTAGTACTGTACATAGGTTGAACAAAAAACATACGTTAATACAGAGTACGTATATACAGAGTATTTGTTTACATCTACGACGACGCCATTTTGCGAACTCGTTCTTGGTCAACTACTGTTTAATTATGTCCTTTCCGTTTGTTTGTATAGCTGTTTATCCGCAAAAACTTTAACTCTGTCCAAAACGTTTAAATTAGGTGGCTATGACTCGAGACTCGTATTTCAGATACGTATTCCTTGCGACGATGTCTATCTTTGGGTACCAATCATATGACCTCTTTATGTAAGAGAAAGGAAACCTTTTATCCAAGAAAAACAATGGGGAAATCAGAATTTGGTTAGAGTCTACCGCGTGCAACGAAAGGTTCCTGAGAAAATTATAAACGAGACCTTGAATAGTAAATTAGGAATCATCATGAAAAAGAAATTGGACGGACAACCGCTTTCAAATTATTAGTTGAATTAATTGAACTAATTCTTCAAACGCAATGACAAGGGCAATCTTCACTATTTCACTGTAGTTTGAGGATTCGAATCCAATTGCAGGATGTGGAGAGCAGTTCTTTTAATGAAACTATATAAACCGACGTACCTTGTGGCAGTGGTGGCACAGAAAGATCACTCACTCCTTGTTCAACAATCGCAAGCCCAAAATGTCGAGTAAGATGTATATTTACAGTCCTCCACCGGCAAGTTTTGGACTCTCAGTCGAAGAGAAAAATGTCCCTAAGGACGTTAAGCAAACCATTAAAATTTGCGCAGGTTATTTTACTTGTATGTGTTGCAGTTGTTGTATTCTTACCTTAGTGTTTTTCTTTCTTTCCTTCTCTTTTATGTTCCCCTTATTCATTACATTTTTAAGTGCGTGAGATACGTCTTGGTTCATCTTTTTTATTTACATGGTGACAAATACATGTACATTAAAAAAGTTTTCATGCAATATTATCTAAGGACGATTAAAATTGGGGAATATACTGGCAAAATACATAGCAGACTGAAAATCATAGTAAAGTGTAAATGGAATGATAACATACTGTAACATAACCCAAACATTTTTGTTCATGAATAAACATTCGGTGCCTTCACTAAGAACATAAGTTCCTTGATTAGTGAGGATAAATATTGTTATCGTCCATTGTGATATATTCAATGTAAATAAAACAATATGAATGAACACGGACATATTGTTTGTCTTTAAAGAAGACTCCGATGATCTTTTCGATATCAGAATGTAAAGTGTTTGATAAAAATAAAATAATAAGGAAATTAAGCTCTTGCTTCCAAGAAGAAGTTCATATCTAAGACAATTTGTTGCTGCAAAAAATCCAAACGTATGAATAACAATTTTCCCAACCCAACAGCAAAGGAGCGTGATATCGCTAAAGCTCAGCTTCCAATCACGGCTTTCCTTACTTCTTTCTCCAATACGTAAAAAAGCAACCAAGGTCATAAGTAACATAAAGACTTTCTGTATGATATCAGTGATTTGATATATCTCACGTAATGTTGTCACGTTTTCAAAATGTACAAATCGGATGATTAATCCTAATGTAATGAAAGGGAATTGAATAATTATACCACACACTAAAGAAACAACACATGTTTTCTTGTTAACTGTGTCTGTGGCTTGTAATTCATCAATGCTTTGTACATTTTCCATGCTTGATGTATCGGACATTGTCGAAGTAGGCAATGTCTTAAGTATAAATAATGTCGCCAGCAGAAGAAAATCCAGAGAGATCTGGAACAGAAACGGCCTCAATGTTGAGGTGAAATGGAATATTTTTGAATGTGTAAAGCAGTAATTGAAACTAGTATTCCTTACATCGGCATTCACAGTGGTGGAATTTATCCTATGCTTATGAAGGATATTTGCAGTGCCTTGAGTGGCAAATTGAAACCAAATACTTGCGTTAGCCAGCAGGATGATACCAATGGAATAATTTATCCAAATTGAACGACAAAATTTAAGATTCTTCATGTACGTTATAAAGGCAATTTGTGATAACATAAAGACGACCATTACTGACGAAGTAACAATTCTTCCTAGGTCCTTAGTCAGAGTATCCACAGTGATACATATGATATTCGTGCCTATTGTCAGTGATGTTCTTAGTAACAACCCGAGAGCGAAGGCCCAAAGAAACCCAAGCTGCATTTTGGAGGAGGCATCAGTTTGTCTCCTTAAAGAAATCCATCGGGATCGATGTCTATAAATTAAGAAAAAGTTCACAAAAATGTTTATTGTTGCAATGCTTACTAACACTGTAATAAGGATCCAAACCACTGTACGTGAAACGTCATCTTTTTTACTGCTAAATATCCCCACAATAACGATGAGTGACGCAGCAAGACAAGAGAATAATATAACGAACGAAGAATCCATGCCTTGGTTAAAATCCTCCGACTTTTGTTGATTGCTGATAGAAAAGGGAATCCCAAAAATAAATTTCAAGATTTTCAGAAAACATGAACCCGTATTTCTCAATTTCAAAACACACATTCTCGAATCTTTCTGATTTAAAAGCACCCTTTAAATATTAATTTCAAATGTTAAACTATGTATCTATGAGAGGTCTAGAAAATTCAGTTTCTCGAACATGTAGAAGGGAAAGTTCCAAACCTTATAACAAACCTTTGTGAGCAAAAAGGATTTATAAAGTTTAGACTGTTGAATAAAATCTTCCGCTGTATAAGATTAAGGAAATTTCACCTCAATGCTCTCGTACAACGCCAAGACATGCAACGCGGTAACATCGGTATTTTTTAAATACTTATAATTACTTCCTTTTTAAATAAATTGAGTCATTATGAGTACCATACACATGTATGTTCACGATTTTAGATCGTATTTTTTTTCTCATATAGATTGTTACGTTTCTTCCTGACTAGATAATTTAATTAAACGTATACTCAATGTAGTTATTAGTACATCTTCGAGCACACGTATCAATATCTATGACAGACAGGTGATGCTTTTTTTTTTTTTTTTAAATGACTCCGTTTTCTGTATTCTATATTTGGATTTTAAACATGCTTACTGTTCATGTTTACAATTAAAAAAAAAATGCATATGATTTTATTGACTTCCTTGTTATGTTCCCCAAACGAAGTTGGGGGAACATATTGTTTTTACTCTGTTTCTTACTATTATTATTTTTCTTCTTGTGAAAATTTTGTCCGCGAATGATCTTGTAAAGTACACATCCGATTAAGGGGAAACCTTTTTAGGATAAGTAGGCAATCCCCATGCTATGTAGATTTGCGGAACAAAGGTCATTTTGCGCGCACGTGCTTGCAAGAGCGCGCACGTGCAACACGTGAAATGACCAATATACTTGAAATTGCCGTAACTTTTACATTTTTTGGTGTAATGCTTTGATATTTAGAATATATAGACATATTATAAATGTAGATAAGAAGACATTGTCAACATGCCATTTTGCGCGCACGTGCTTGCAAGAGCGTGCACGTGCAACACGTGAAATGACCAATATAATGGATATAGCGGTAACTTTTCTATTTTTTGATGAAATCTTTTGAAATTTATAATGTAAGGATATATAAGTAGCGTAGACAAGATGACATGATCAAAAAAGCAAGATCTCACGCGCATGCACGTGCGCTTCGCTCTGATTGGCTGAAACTAAAGTATCTATATCTTTCTTGTTTTCTGACGCAATCCTATGAACTTTTGAACATAGCCATGCATTAAGATATCCTACAACATGATATATAGCAATTATCATGAAAACACGTGCATGCAAGTGCGCTGCAATCTGATTGGCTGAAACTTTAAATAGTTATAACTCCCTTGGTTTTCAACCAAACAGGATGGAATTTGGAACATAGATAGATATAATGAACTTCTACAAGACCATGCACATGCATACACGAATTTGGAACATAGATAGATATAATGAACTTCTACAAGACCATGCACATGCATACACGTGCGTGTACGTGCGCTGTAATCTGATTGGCTGAAACTTTAAACAGCTATATTTCCCTTTGTTTTCAATCAAACGTGGTGGGATTAAGAACATAGATAGATGTAAAGGACTTCTACAAGAAGATATGGTCACCATGCTCATATGTATGCACGTGCGTGCACACGAAATGAGATAAATCAAAAATACACTTAAATGAGCGTATTTTTTAATACTTTTGGATTAAATACTTTAATATTTAGTATAGAAAAATATAAAGATTGTGTAGACAAGATGATATGGTCATTACGCACATGCATTCTTATGCGCACGCTTGCAATGCTAAAATTTGAATGAACTTGGCGTTGTTAAAGTCTCAAATGCATAGATTTTGTCCTATTTAATGAAGCTTACAGGGAATATGGCACTAAAAGGGAGTTAGGGAGCGTTTGGGGAACATCTGTAACGGTCCCCGTTACAATTAGCACTAGTTTTCTTTATGTTTAGAAAAAAAGCCAACGTTATTCATAAATAATCGACCTTACTAATTGTGACGAAATTTAAAGAAAAAAAAAAAAAAAAAAAGATAAAGTCTTGTTTTGTGCGACTTTAATGTAAGAATGGGTTTCTGTTTTCGTTTGATCACAATTGAAGATGATTTTAAATTTAATTTTTTTTGATTTTTCAAACAAACTTGTCTTAGATTTTGCTCACATCTTTACTGATTCCACCTCTGATGTTTTGGAGGTCCGTGTTAGCTCTGCTCCTGTATTGTTTTATGGACTTTTGATCTTGAATACCGTTCGTTATCTCCAAATGTTTCATTTACTTAAATTTGCCCTGTTTTGAATATACGAGAAGGAATTAAGAGAGCAAACTATACTGGGGCGAAATTTCTCCAGTAATCAGTATAGAGTGCCTTTTTAAAGAAACAAATATAAAGCATTTGGTGATTTTTTTTATTTTTTTTTTTATTTTAGGCGAAGGTATTTTGATTCTGGAAATATCCCAATAACGTAAAAAACGCAACTCCATCCACAAATGCTATCTCAGGGTGTCCCAAACATATGTTAAACTATTAAGCTAGCTGTTATAAAATTTTTATGCCTTAAATTACATAAATGGAATTTAAAACATATAAACATTTTTTTCTAATTTGTCAAGCATATCGGTACATTTGCCACAGTTTCCTTATTAATCATCAAAAATATTCTTTAGAAAAACATACATGTATATCAACATGTTCCAATTGACGTTCCATTGCCTTTAAAACTGTTTGAACAAGATTTCTGATTTTTTTTTCAACAAGCTTTAGAGGTTTTTCCATGTAGAAATGGGGTTTACCGTTTCACCGAACCCCAGAATTTAAGATACTGTTTACTGACAACATTGTTTAGATGGAAGTTGACTTCATCGAAAATTAACCATACAGCATCTGTTAAATTTTCAAAGTATGGTCTAATTAAAATCCAATGGACAAACACTAAACGGCTTCTGATGGCTGTCTCTTTTAAATGCAGCATCACAATTATCTCGTAGGAAATCAATTTTGATTCAAATTTGAGTATTTTATGAACACCAGATTTACTAATGGTGCCATCTTGTTTACTTGCAGTACCCGTTTTACAGATTTTTGTAAAGTTTTAGTAAAAACCTTTCAATGGCATCAATGATCTCTTTGGTGCCGAAACCCTTTGGTCTTTTAATAACGGAATAGTGTCTTGAGTCGTTTATTAGCTGTTTCTGGTGCCTTTTATCTCAAACTTCCTCTCAAGTCTGTAAATTAGCTCTCGGTTGAGCACTTTAATTCCATAAGTTCATGTACCTGACTTTTTAACATAATTTCTAGTAGTCAGATTATTCTAATACAATAATTATCTTTAATGTGATTGTTTTTCGTTTGATAAAGTTATAGATAATTAAAAGTGTAACATATGTTTTGGGACATCCTGTACGTATATAATAATATATATAGCAAATATATAGATAATAAAAAGTAAAAAGTTGTTGACTGGGGTTGGGGCAACAGTTGATCTGTCAGACCAGTGTGCAGACTGTTGCCCAAGGCCGAGGGTAACAGTTTACACACTGGTCCGACAGATCAACTGTTGCCGAGACCCATAGCTGTCAACAACTGTTTTGTTATACCCACATAAACAAATACATACTGAATGTTCTATGATAAAAATAAACTATACAATTTATTTGGAAGTTTATAAAATACTTTGGCCAATAAACATAAGTCAATTTCAATTAATTTCCACATAAATAATTAAAAATATGAAATTTTATTATTACGCGGATTGCCAGTATGATAATTTTCAACAGCACATAAATAATTAAATATGAAATTTTATGTTGCGGCCATAGGAAGAGAACACAGATTTTGCAGTGTTTACATTAGGAATGCTGATACCTGTATTTTGCAGGCTTCCAAACATAGAATCATCAAGGATAGCGGCTAAGTCTCGGTCGTCTACATCTACAATGTCTTCAGGACAGTTCTTGAATAGATTAAATGGAGGCTGTATAAGGCATTTTGTTATTTTCCATTGGTCTCAGGGGTTGTAGAATTCTTGTGGCCTTGCATGTAGATACTTTTGCAGCCAAGGAATCTGACATAGTGTGTTTTTTGGAATTACTTAATTTGTGTAGTAGTGTTTCAAACTACTTTCAGACCTGTGCTCAGATATACAAATTATGTGCCAAGACTCATACCCACATTCATCCAACATGGTTATACAAGTAGCTCTAATACAGTGATTGGTATAAACACACGAAAGCCCTGCATCTTTGCTGATCCTCTGCATCAGACTTCCAAAAGTGTTCTTCCCAACAACCATGCTGTCATACCATAAAGGGGATTGATCAGTAACATTTATCCTCGGCCGTTGCCATAAAGAGTCACAGTCCATATTTAGCTTAGCGAGATACTTTTCGAAGCTCATGACTGGACAGTTTGGTTTACCTAGCATTTAATACAACAATATAAATATGATGTACTGCATGTGCAAGAAAATATATTTTACAAGAAAATGTTGTTTTTTTTAAAAAAGCAAATAGGTATGACATGTACATGTACATAAATTACATAAGCTTTGCAAATTTAGAGGCTTAATTAAGTCATGCACTTACCAGGTTGCTCATATAAATCCTTCCACCATCCTGTCATCGTCAGTTGAATTATCTCCCCGGTGGTTTTTTTGTTAACCTGGCGGTAGTATAGGCAACATATCGCCTGCCATCATGGTCCTCTCGGATTACATACTGTGAAATCACAAATTTTCGTGGGGGTTTAATTTTCGTTGTTTTCGAGGTATGAGCAGACCCACAAATTCCATGTCCACCGCGAAATGTAAAATATTACATATATATATCTACTGAACAATTCTTCATCCACGAATTCTAATCCCCACGAACCAAGAGTTTTTACTCAAACCACCACAATTTGATCCCACAAAAATATGTGATTTTACAGTAATCAGTTTTTCTCATGTTTCGGAGATTTTCTCTCCCACGATTACAAAAGTACACGATTTCAAAGAAAATTTTGTGTTGTGGTGTTTTGGGTGTATCACAGTTAAAAACTCCACTGCTGTACAATGTCCCCAAGTCTTGTTCGCTTAATAATTTCTTCTTTGTGCTGCATTTTACCTAGGCCCTCTTTTTTGATTTGAACCATGGTAGCGAAAAAAAAACATCATTTGCCGTCTTG